AACTCGGCAATCAAGCAAGCTCCAGCGCCAAAATTTTGCCAGTGGGTTCCCCGGCCAAATGCCACTCCAGGACCGCAGTACTAACTTCCTTGCACGTCTGAGCACCGCATACGAGCACGTAAAAGTTTTGATGGGAAAATTGCTAAGTTGGAAACCAGAAAAGTTGGAAAGCTGAAATTTCAACAGAATGTTCCCTGTCCAAGTACCATGTAGTTGCACCCACCTGGCTTCCGAACAACAATCCAGAGATTCACTTTACCACAAACATACACAAAAAAGAATCTATTTCCGAAGAAAAAAATTGAAAATCTGCAACCGGATGAACTGCAGGAACTTAGCACAACCAAGTCCCAGCCACCAATCACCTCCTGCTGCAGAATAACAGAGAATGCAACCGGCCCGAATCGATCACCCTGTGCAAAGATGCACAACAACAGAATTGCACAGGGAAATACACGCCCACACACACACTGAATATGTACAACCCAGGGTACACCACTGCCACGGCCCGCACACACCGATCCTACACCATAGGGCAAAAGATGGGTTAAAGTCAGAAAAAGAAAAAAACGAAAGAAATAGCACTGGTCGCCGGAGGCTACAGAGAAAGAAAGTCGCAGGAACGCCGAGCGAACATCTCAGGACCAATCCTGAATGCAACAGGCTCCTGGATGGACAGCGATACCACACACATAGAACAGCATCATGTACAACGAAAGGAGGCCAGGGACACCACTGCAGGCAACGATCGTGTTACTGGTAGACAAACAGACAAACTTGTCGACGTACAGACACACGCACACATACACACACACATCTGCAAGTACACACACAGAAATGTACGAGCACAGACATACAGGCCCAACGCCCACACACGCACACACACACACAAGTGCACACACACAGACACGCATACGCACAGACCCGCACACTTGCACACACATGCACACTCACACACACACACTCGCACGCACGCACACACACAGACACGCATACACAGACGCATACACTCACATATAAATATACACATCCAATACACACACAAATATATACACACATGCACACTCACACACGCACACAAACATACGCATACTCACACGTACAATTACACACGTGTACACGCACGTACATTCGCACACCCACATGCGCACGCACACATACACACACACACGCACACGAAACATTTGTACATACGCATCAAAAAGATTTCGCATACACACACGTGTGGACGTGCGGATGTGCCAACGTGGAACTTCACGTGCATGAGGGTGGCCACAGACAAGAGCATGCGTGCATATATAAACGTATATGTATATGTATATATAGCAAGAAGTTTTATAAAATTATTGAGATGTTTCGTGTGTGTGCGTGTGTTTGTGCGTGTACGTACGTGCGTGTGTGCGTGCGTGTGTGTGAGTGTATATGTGTACATGTGGGTGTGTGCGAGCGTGTCTGAGTGTTGAGATGAAATGGGATGATGAGGAGATACAGGTCACTCCAGTAGAAAACGTGCTGATTCGGTCCTAAAGCTAAGCACCTGATTCAGAGATACTTTGTGGATCGTAGCTGAGCAATGCAGTGCTATGCCTTAATAATCCTGGAAAATGTACCCCATGGCGGGCTGTCCGACACTGCACGCCATACTGAATTAAGTAAACAGCACGACCAGCGTGAGATGCCTGAACGTTTTGTGTTCTGACCTTTTTATACGATTGGATCTAGCGTCACTAACTTGGCCCTCAAGAAGCTGCTATCTCCAGGACCTACTTTGCTGTTCTGGACAACCGTTCGTGAACTATGTTTTTGCCGTAGGCAAATCGAGGGGGAAAGGAGGAGAGGGTCGAAGGGATTGTGGCACCTCCCGAAGACGTCTCACAAGCAACTTTAATTTGTTTACAAGGTTGGGGGAATTTCACGCTTCTGTGATCTTGTCGACCCATCCTCCATCGTCGCCAAAACGGAGATCCCAATTCACATCGTGAAGCAGTTGAACGTTGTTGACTGGGCAGAATCCATTGCTGTGAAGGGATGGGACAAAAAGAAAATAAGTCGAGCGGAGGAACCTCTGAACTTAAAAAAACATATAAACATCCATCTGTCACTTAATAGAAGGTATAATTGGAAAAAAATATACAATTTGGTTAATGGCTTCACCGGTTGTCACTCAACTGGCAAGCGTCGACATACATTTATTTACAATTTATAACAAAATCGAGATTTAGCAATCTGGACAGATGGACAGGCTGCTAACTAGCCACACATCTTCTTGCTGGCCTCGACCAGCGAATCGGGCCACAAACTAGAGGCTGTCGTTTTTGCCTGTAATCAGTCTTGATAATATTGCTAGACAAGACACAAACAGTCCCGAAAAACGATGCACCAATCCAACAGTATTGACACCATGCACCAATCCAACTGTACTGAAACCTTTGCTGCCACCAAGTGCAGGACGCCGCGGTGGAACGACCAGGTATTTGTTCAGCGCAGTGACAGTGCTCTCAACAAATTCGGAGCGTGGCGCTTCATTCCAATGCGCTAATACGTAATTTGAATGGGGAAAATATAATTATTTTTGTGAAATTGAGCTTTGAATTTTTTGGCAAGGTAGCCTAATCTTTTTTTTTTCAAAAACTTTTTTTTCGAAACTGTTTTTTTAAAGCTCTTTGTTCGAATACGTAATTTGGACGGGGCGAGAAAATATAATCATTTTTGTGAAACTGAGCTTTGAATTCTTTGGCCAAGTAGCCTAAGCTTTTTTTTTTCAAAGACTTTTTTTCCGAAACTTTTTTTTCTAAAGCTCTTTGTTCTCTCCGAAGTTATCTTTTTTTTCAAAATTTTTTAAGAGTTTTTCAGCGAACTTTTTTCACAAATTTGTGCTTTATTTGAAAATCATCATTTAAGAACAGACCTCCATGAAATCTTGTTTTGTGTCGACAACCTATTGATCCTTTCTGCCTTATGCGGAAAAGATTAATTGTGTGTTTTTCGCACACAACACTTCTGTTTTCATGCTTAAAGGCAAAATCCCCTAATTCTTAAAGACAAAATTCCGCGCAAGGACATGACAAATACTCATTTTTGACGTAACTTGAAGAGCGAGTGCGTTTTGCGGATTTCCTAATCCTTTTGTTCCGATATCCTGTGCACTCCAAAATTTTCATTTTTCGACGAAAGACCGCTCACCGGGAAAACGATCGGTCTTCACGCAAAAAAACTGTTAATCACACATGCTGAAGGTTCACGCGGCCCCATGATGCAATACTACTATCCTAACCAGCATTCTTTTCCTCCTGCATGCAAGAGAACGCCAAAACACAGCTAATATGCGTCCGCGTGTCAAACTGAAACGCAAGAACCATTCATGCTGTTAAAGGTTTGGCTACTGCAAGCTTAATCAAGAACGCATGATTGATTGTACCGGCAAGCCTGGTGCGCCCCAGCCTAGAGCTATCATGATTACACAATTCGCTTCATGAATAATTCATCGGAATTTTATATTGATAGTTCATTGTTGAAATCACATTACTCTGGTAAGATGCAACAGCACTTTTACTGTTCTGAATTTTGTATAGTACTGGTCTCATTAAACCTGTAGATGCATGATGCATACTTTTTTTTGTCTCAAGGCTACTGTAAGAAATGAATC